TCCAAACATTTTTAACTCAACCACTTTTTTAACTCAACTTTAACTCAACCCCACTATCATCAATATTATCAATATAATTAAATAATATCAAATCAATCATTCTTACACACCACATCACCTTAATTTACGATTCATACACTCACATAATTTTAACTAACCATCACTTCAAATCTCTTCTCTCTTACTTTACATCAAATCAACTTTAATTATTTAATTTTAAATATTATTTTAATATATCCATTAACAACTAACCATACCAACTTTTTCATAACTAACCAAACCAAACAAAAAAAAATCCAAACAAAACCAATTTTTTTTTTCTTAAACCGATTTTATGGAATATAAGACAAATAATAAAATAATTAAATAAAATTCTTGATAGAAATAGCAATGCATTAATAACTTCAACCTACTAAATTTGGTAAATATGATACCTTATTATATAAGTATAGATTAAATTTTTAAGCAAATTAACTTATGTAATTCGAATTATTTATTTTATACTATGTAATCTTTAGTTAAAAAATTATGAATTAAATTTATCTTATAGTTTTTTTCTATATTGTTTATTTATTATGACTTTTTACACAATAAAAATACAACTGATGTGAATTCTATATGGGCAAATGTACAAAATGTTAAGTATAACTAGGATACTACATGAGCGAATTATTTATTCCATACATATAAGTATAACTACATGGGCAAATGTTAATAAATAAATGTTAAGTATAACTAGATTGTGATTCTCCTTAGTGACTTTTTTTATGCTAAATTGTAGACTTTTTTTTCATTTTATAGTTATACTTAACATTTGCATATTTTTTTCTTAAGACTATAAAAAAATATTTTTGGGTATATTTATATAAAAAAATATATCTAAATTTATCTTATAGAATAAGTAAATTTAATATATATAAATTTAAATTTTTTGGGTATATTTTTCAATTATATTTATCTTATAGTTTTTTTCTATTATGTTTATTTAATATAACTTCTTACACAATAAAAATGCAAATGGTGTGAATTCTATATAGGCAAATGTTACAAATTGTTAAGTATAACTAGGTTACTGCATGAGCAAATTATTTATTCGCTAGTGGTGTTGGACGAGTTTGGGTCGTGCGGGCGCATGGAGATGGTTTCGTTGTTCTCTGGTTGAAGGCGGGTCGACACCGAGTTGATTCAGGGTTTCGGTTCGACTTCTGTATAGGCGGTTCCGTAGTTTCGGAAGTGCCTCATCGGGCTCAGGATTCTTCTTGGAGTTTGATTGCTTCTATGTTCAACCCGCTTGTTTATTGCGGAAGGGCATGCCCATTGTTATTTAGTTTTATATCATGTTTTGTGTTATTTGAGTCTGTGTTGTTTTTCGTTAGGTGTTTTTTGTTTGGGCAGTTGGCCCCTTTATTATGTGAGCCCCGCTGTATATGTTCGGGTATTCAAGGAGCTTTGTGTTTCTTTGTTTGTGTTGTCGTGTCGGTTGTGTTTGAGTCTTGTTTTTGGTTTCTAGCTTGCTAGCTGCAGTTCTAGGCGGTCTCTGACCCGTCCTCTCACTTTTTCAGCCGTTGGTTGTATTATTCAACTACGGGCTATACTTTGCACATTTGTGCGTTTTGATTTATAATATTTCTATCATTTTGGAAAAAATATTATATATATATATATATATATTTAAGTATAACTATATGGGCAAATATTAATAAATAATTGTTAAGTACAACTAGATTGTGATTTCTCCATGATGACTTTTTTTTTTTTTCTAAATTGTAGACTTTTTTTTCATTCTATAGTATACTTAACATTTGCATATTTTTTTCTTAAGACTATAAAGATATTTATGGGTTTATTGATATAAATACTTTTTATTAAGATAATATATAATTCCATTTGTCTGTGTCTTTTTTAATTTGGATTAATAATTAAGTTTATTTTTTATTTATAAAGATAGTTGGAATTTTCTATGTGGTATGGAGGTAAAATAAAAAATCGTAAAAAAATAATTAATTTGATAAATCATATCCAAAAAAAGGGCTACATATAAAAAAGTTATTATCATTTAAAGTGTGAATATAATAAATTATGGTAGTTAAATAATGAAATAAACGAGAATAAATAATATAAATTTCCTCTGGTGAGATTTGATTTTGAGAAAGAGAAAAAATGACAAATATAAATGCATAATTGCCAAAATTGGAAATAAATTATTTATGTGAAGTACCAAAACATAAATTCAAAGCAATATTATTTATACAATCAAATTATAAAGCACATAATTTTAATATGTCAACATCTGAAGCATGCAAACTTGCAACTTAGACTCAGCACGTTCTGAAATTATAGATAGAGGGGATACGAGAAATTAAATCAGCTTAATTTTTATATATTATTAACAAAATCTATCCAAATATAATTGAAATTTTAAAGTGAACAAAAACATTAATAATAATAAAAGTATGCTGTTTAATGTCATGGTTAATATTAATTATAATTCTACTTCTATAAAAATAATTAATATAGACAAAGTACAATTTTATGTTCTTTATTTGTCTCTTTGGTAATCGATTGTACATGACTATATATATTATTTCAGTTATACATGAATTTTGAAAAAATATAACGTTTCACTTTACAAATTATTCAATCACAAAATTCAGACATCTTATTCAATCACAAAATTCAGACATCTTAAATTTAGTTTAGTATCCAAGAAAAACAAATTAAATTGACACTTATTTCGATATTAATACGATGTAATTTATTACATGTTATGTGCACCGTACGAGTTGTGTACTAATTTCAATAGATGTGTTTTTATTTAATCTTGCACAAATTATCTTTCATATAACAATTGAAATAAATTAATATAGGGAGGAGGGGAGCAGTACATATTGATTTCATATTTTAATTTATTTTTATTATTTAATAAACATTTTTAATCTATAAGTATCAATCAATATCTTTTACCCGTACATCGCACGAGATTCGTAATAGTATTAAATAAGAGCATGTTAACGCTAACATGTAAATTTAGTCAATTATTATCTTCCTAAACATTTTTTTTTTTGGAACGATAGAGAAACTATTATAAATCAAGGGGGCACAAAAGTGCGAATACAAAGCTCCCAACGGGAGAATAAAATGGGAGGACATGTCATAAGACCGCCTAAAACCGACCCCAACGGGGTAATACTCGGACCTACAACCAAAACACGACAACACTAAAAGCTTCCAAAGGGGAGCAATAAACAAACAACAAAACTACAAAAGGCCCCAACAGGGTAATACCCGAATGTCGGACCCCAACAGGGTAATAAGGTGACACTCGAGCTCAAAGAGGCCAACGGCCCAGACCTAAAACACTGAAGCACAAACAAGACCAAAACAGCACAACACACAAAACAAACACTACAGAAAGACAAAAACCTAAACAAGAATTAGAAGCCTCCCTCAGCAGCAGCGTCCGAAGAAGACAGTAGACAAAGCCAGCTCCGTGGAGAGCT